TCACCCCTGCTACCTGCTCCTTCAATGTCTACCCCAGCACCCGGATCTCTCTGGAGGGGGTGGATCTGGCTCCCGTATGGGCTGCTTTTTTCTCATCCTATCGTCCCCTGAGGCTTCATCTCCCTTTTATACCAGTTTTTCTCTACCCCAAATGCTCTCAGTCCAGCTGCTGCCAGCATGTGAAGGAGGTGTCTGACACCCAGACCTCCCGAACATCCTGCTCCCTACAACAGCCTTAACCATTCTCCTTCTCTCCTCCAAGGAACCCATAAAATCCCGGGCCCCCCAGCTGCACCTGGAGTATCGGTTCTACAAACAGCTCGGCAATGCAGGTATGGGGCCGGGCTGCGCTGCCACGGGGAGCTGGCCGCCCAGGCGATACAGCTAGGAAAGGGAGGCTTCCTCTAAATGTGACTCTGCAAATTCCCTCCCTGGCATGAGCGACTCCTGCCCATCTGCTCGGCTGGGAGAGGCCGATTTTACACAGAGCCATGTCTAATCTTTGATCCCTTTTTATTTAGTTCTTCCCTCCCCCCACACCTCCCCCGCAGCAGTCAGGGATGCAGATGGAGCTCCCTCCTTCGCCCTCCTGCCAAGAGCAGAGCCAGGCTGTCTGCGGCGCGAAGGGAGGGCAGTGCAGAGACATCCCCCCATCTGCAGCCCCCCATCCCGGCTCCAGCAACGGCATGGCCGTGACAGCACGGCCGTGTACTGCTCAGCTCTGTTGCACCCCCTGACAGCCCCTGCTCCATCTCTTGCAGAAGGAATTCCTCAGGTTTACTACTTTGGCCCCTGCGGGAAGTACAATGCTATGGTGTTGGAGCTGCTAGGACCCAGCCTAGAAGATCTCTTTGATCTGTGTGATCGGACCTTCACGCTCAAGACCGTCCTGATGATCGCGATCCAGCTGGTGAGTGCAGCACCGTCCGCCTCGCCTGCGGCTCTGCACAGCTCACCTCGGCTCGCCTGGCCACAGACCGCCCCGGGGGAGTGGGGTGGTGCGTGGGCACTGTGGTCAGGCTGTGTGGGGACCGCGCAGGGAAGGGGAGGGGAAGAAGGGGTGAGGCAGCACGCAGTAGCCCACAGGAGACACTGCCCGGTGCTATATCCCATACCTCACCCTCTCCCTGATGTAGCAGGGTTCTCCCTCACCCCCACACAGCCACTCTCTTGAGCGCAGCCGAGTGTCTCTCACTGTGTGGCCGAGATTCGGCCAGACTGAGGTTGTCTCCCAGGGCTGGAGGACTTGTGCTCATCCTTTTGACCCAGGGTGACGCATGAGCTGAGGGCAGCAAGGTTGCTGGCTGGGGACAAAGCAGTCGGAGCAGGGTTGGGCCCAGAGGAGTGATGTGTGCAGGATGCATGGTGTGTCTCTGCTGTGGTGCTGATGTCTCCTTCTGCCCCCAGATCACACGGATGGAGTATGTTCACACCAAAAGCCTGATCTACAGAGATGTCAAGCCAGAGAACTTCCTGGTGGGGCGGCCGGGCAGCAAACGGCAGCACACCATCCACATCATCGATTTTGGCCTGGCCAAAGAGTATATTGACCCCGAGACCAAAAAACACATCCCCTACCGAGAGCACAAGAGCCTGACAGGGACAGCACGCTACATGAGCATCAACACCCACCTCGGGAAAGGTGTGTGCACGCTGTGTGGCCAGCCTTGCCTCTCGGCCGAAAGGGAAAGGGAAGGGGACTGCAGGGTCTGAGCTCTCTGCTGCCAGAGGTGGGGCTGGGGACAAACTGCCTCTCCTGCTCTTCAGCCTGGGATGTTGTCCAGGGGATTTGGGGTGCTGCAGGGTCTGGCAGGGACAGGGAAGGTGGCTGTAGTGGGAACGTGCCCATGTCTTTTTTTCTCCGTGCAGAACAAAGCCGCAGGGACGACCTGGAAGCATTAGGGCACATGTTTATGTACTTCCTCCGCGGGAGCCTCCCTTGGCAAGGCCTCAAGGTAACTGCCATCTCCCACTGTCCCTGGATGTGTCTGCCCGGTGGATTTGGCTCTGGCTCTGTCCTGGCATGGGCAGCATCAGGTTGTGGGGAGGGGAAAGCTTTGGCCCGCGGCGTGTTGGAGGGTTGGTACCCCACCAGATGCCGGGGCTGTTGCTCTGAGCTCTGCGCCAGGTCCTTGCTGTGCTGAGTGGCTGTAGGTGTCCTCCTCTCTGTGTCCCTCCCACTTTGCGGGTATCCCAGCTGCTTTCACAGTGGGTGTCCTGGAACTGCACTCCCCAGTGTTTGTCCTCCAGACCTGCCCTGGGCAAGGAGATACCCTGGGAATGAGCTCTCGCTCTTACCTGGAAAAGGGGGACCAAAAAACTGTTCATGGTCTAACGGCACCCAGTGCCTTCCCGTCTCCCCGGGACATACCTGGCCCTCATGCCGACCTGCTCCTTGTCTCTGCCAGGCCGACACGCTAAAGGAGAGGTATCAGAAGATTGGTGACACCAAAAGAGCCACTCCAGTGGAGGTGCTCTGTGAGAACTTCCCAGGTGAGGACACTGCATGGCCTGTCCCTGTCCCCGGCTTGGCCCCAGAGCCCGCTGGCCTGGCGTCTTGTCCCCCTGCCCCAACTGAGCCCACTTTGTCCCCACAGAGGAGATGGCCACATACTTGCGCTACGTGCGGCGGCTGGATTTCTTTGAGAAACCGGACTACGACTACCTGCGGAAGCTCTTCACAGACTTGTTTGAGAGGAACGGTTACGTGTTTGACTATGAATACGACTGGGCAGGGAAACCCCTGGTGAGCGGCGAGGGAGCGGGGACGGGCAGAGGGTGCTGGGCCCCAGGGCGCACGGAGGGCGGTGGGCAACGTGGTGGGGAGTCAGCGTGGTCTGCGGCAGCAGCCAGGGAGGATGCAGGTCGGCAGTTGTCCCTGCCACGTACATCTGTGCCCGAGAGATCAGCTCCACCAGTCCTCACCTGACACCGGCAGCCAGCTCCAAACTGGGGCTGTTGTGCCAATGAGTTAAAGCTGTGACACAGAAATTTGAAGCTCCTGGAGCTCAGGGGAACCCAGCAGTTGAGTTGGCACCTTGCTTTCTGCAACGGGCACCCTCCGTGGGCTCGCTGCAGCCAAGCGCCAGCCGTGGAGCTGCTGGGGCAGGGGTAGGGGCTGGGGTAAGGCCCCGATTCTGGGTTGCATGTATGGCCAGAGGTTGGTTCAGGGGACGCGGGGTGGCAGGAGGGATGCTGTGCTGTGGCTGATGTTCACCTGGTTGTGTCCCCAGCCCACCCCCATCGGCACGATGCACAGCGAGGTGCAGGTGCAGCCCCCGAACAGAGGAGACAAAGCACAGCCACACACCAAACACCAGGTGAGCGGCAGCACTGCCCTGGCCAGGGCACGGGACCGCGGTCGTGCACAGCTCAGGCTTCTGCTCCGCAGAGCCCAGCGGGGCCTCTGGCTGGAGGCAGGGACTGAGGCATCATTTTCTCCCCAGCGCTGTCTGTGAGAGGGCTTCCTCCCTGCAAGTCTGGGTCTGTGGCTAGCAGGAGGATCAGGGCAGCGTCCCTGGGGCCGGGTGGCCTGGCGGAAGCGGGAGGAAGGAGCCGTGGGAGGCTGTAGCACTGCCGGGCCTGGGCTTCAGCTGGCAAGCTGCAGGGTTTAGCGCTGGCCAGTGGGTGTGGGCATGGCACAGGCTGAGCCACCTTGTGCTAAGGACATTGTCCCCGGTGCCGCATCCCCATGGGAGAAACTTGCTGCTCTGTTCGTGGTGCCGCTTTCATCAATGAGGTGGGGACATGGGACAAGGGAGGGGGCTGCCGGGGCCTCGGCGGGGATTCGTGGGGCAGCTTGGCAGCATGTGGCCCCGTACTACTGGAGAGCGGGGTTGGCTTTGCGCTGGGAACTGGCAGGGCGCGTGGAGCTGAGCTGGGAGCAGCCCAGGGCAGGGAGATGGGCAGAGCTGTGCAGGCAGCTCCCTGCCTGGGCTGCTGGGGGAACGGGGCTGGGCTGCCCGGCCCTTCTCCGGTGCCGTGGCCTGCCCTGGTGCAGGAAACACGGCTTTGGCACTGCTGCCTTCAAGAGCAAACCTCACACGTTTCCCCAGTGGTCCTGTACAGACCTTCGTCCTCTTGCCTTGAACCTCCACAGGGAGCAGAGCACCTGCAAACGGGCTGGAGCTGAGGGTGCAGCACCCTGTGCTCCCTCACCCATGTATCGGCCCAGCGGTGCCCTTTGTTGCTGTGGGCCGAGCACGGGGAGCCTGGGACAGCCCTGGCTCTCGCTGGGCAGCGCTTCCTTAGGGAGAAGGCAACGTCTTCAAAGCGCCTCTGGTTTGTTCCTGGGAACTTGCTCCCAGTAAGATCTGCGCTCTGCTGTGTTCGACAGCCCTTCTCGAGGGCGATGGGAAAAGCAAAGCACAAAACTCCCACAGCGTGGGAGCAGTTTCCAACCCGGGGATGCAGAGGGGTGTGCCATACTCACCGTGGCGAGGGTTTGGCAGCCCTGAGGAGCCCGGTACCGTCAAGGAGCAGCACAGCTCGCTTCCTCGCAGTGACCCCGCAAGGATCCGTGTCGGCCTCAGAACATTGCACTCGTGGGAGAGTGGCTGGCAGCATCGCCTTGGCCCGGCTGCATCTCCCCATGCAGCGAGCAGCACTGCTCTCCCAGCACACTCCGAAATGCAGCTGCCGGCCCTGCGCAGGGCTGGCCGTGCTCTGCAGGGCAGTGTGCCCTCAGCTGCCCGGAGAGGACATGCCCAGTGCTCCATTGCTGGGGGCTGCGTGTGTGCGTGTGCGTGGCAGGGAGGATGCAGACCCTACGGTGTCACCTCAGGGACCGCTCTGGGGAGCCGCCGGGATGGTGGTGCGTGGGTGCCCTCCGCAATCATAAACTTGAGCTGCTCCGGTCATGTTTTTGCTTTTGCATGTCTTATTTTCTCAACTCCCTTTGCCACTCTTCTCCCTGCCCCTTCCCTCCACCTCTTCCTTCTCTTCCCCATTCTTCCTCTTTTCTTTTCTTTTGTTTCTTTTCATTCTGTTCCTCCTGCCTGTCGCGAGCAGCCGCCCGAGGGGACGGAGTTGTGGGATCCTCAGGCCAGTGGGCAGCCTGCCGAGGAGCCTTTGGGAGCTCACCTGGCAGCCGGCAGGCTCGGGGGGTCCGTCCAGGTACATGCAACTACGCGCCGAGGGCAGGGGCGGGCGCGGGAGGGAGCAGAGCCAACCTGCGCCACGCGACCTGCCCGTACAGCCGGGCACAAGCCGACGTGTGTCTGCCGGCCGTGCCAGGGGATCAGCCCCGCTCCCCCGCCCCAGGGCAGCACTGGGGCCACATGTGCCCAGGGTCTTCCTGGACTGCAGCACGTAGACCACGGGGCTGTGCTGCCCCGTCCCCGTGGTGCGTGATGCTCACGGCTGGCAGAAGTGGCTGGCGCTGCTTCCCAGAGGCTGCCGGGCTCTTTTGGCGCTGTAGTTGGGACTCGGAGGGCGAATAGAGATGGATGAAGCACTGCGTCTGCGCCACACGGCGGCACGAGCAGCCAGATGGGCATTGGGCTCTGCCCCCTGTGCTGGTTGTCCCTGCAGAGCCGGATACCGCGGCCTTATCCCACGTGGGGACTTCCCTGTGCCTCCTTGTTTGACTGGAGGGATGGCTTCGAGCTCTGCTTCTCTTCCCTTTCCCTGGTCAGTCCTCGGCCTCAGCTCCCCGCCTTGGTCTTGCACTCACGCCGTCGGCCGCGTGCTCGCCGCCCTCGCAGCCTTCTGCCCTCTGCCGCTCGGGCTGGTGGGGTTCAGCCCATGCGGACGACAGGGCATCCATGGTGGGTCCCCCCCCGGACTGGACCTGTGCTGCTTCCTCCGTCTCTGCTTCCGTCCCCGCCGCTGCTGCTCGTTCCTGCTGCTCTGCGGTGAATCTCTGCCAGTGCTTGGTCCTGGGCTCGGGCCTGGCTCTCGCTGTTGCCATCTCAGGGATGGAGCAGACTGTGGGGCCAGCTCATGCTCTGCCCAGCTCCTCCCGTACCACATCCTCTCCCTGCCACAGTGGCTGCTCCCTGCTCTCGCTCTGCAAACCTTCCCCCGTCCTCCGCCTGTGCCCGGCACTGCAGGGGGGTGTTGGTGACGCACAGGGATCTCCGGGCTTGTTTTGGGGGGCTGTAGCTTGACGTAGCTCTGCCGGCTGGGCACTGTGGCTGTCGTATGGCAGCTCCTCCGCGAGTCTGAGTAAGGCCGAGCCTCCTCACCGGGGACGAGCAGCTTGGCAATCCTTTGGCCTGCGCATCCCCAGGGAGCTCCTCCTGGCTTTGTCTGGGGGCAGCAGGCGCAGGAGAGGGGGTACAAGCCAGTCCCTGTTGCCTGTGCCAACCCCGTCCTTGCTTTGGTGACTTGGATCTCCTCCTGGCCTCAGCGCCGCGCATGGCCCCGCTGCTCCGGCGAGTGGGCACTGCAAGGCCAGCAGGAGCCCACAGGGTGGGCACTGGGCTGGATCCTGCAGGGCCTGGTGGTGTTGGGGCTTGGGGCTGGGGGGCAAGAGCTGTGTCCAGTTCCTCGGCCATAGCAGGGTCTCCTTGGAGCTAACGGCTTCGTGGGGCTGTGTCTCCCGGGCATGCTGGAGCTGCCTCCCAGTAAGCCCCTCTACTGGCGGGGTGTGCAGGGATTCCCAGGAGCCAGGATGCCCACAGAAACACTGAGGGGATCTACGCCCTCTGTGCGATGGGGCTGCTTGGGAGCGCTCAGCACTGAGGCCGAGCACCGCTGTCCGGGCCAGGGCACCGTCCCGCTGCCCTGTGTGGGGACCCTGGTGCTCCTGGCACACGGGGGCTGTGCTGCTTCCTGGGGCTGCACTTCTCTGGGACACAGCTGCCGCGGGGCAGGGGACGTGGCCAAGCACCGGCCCGTGCCCCGTGGGCTGCCCCACGCTGACCCTCACCTCTCCCCAGGTGATGAGCTCCACCAACGGAGAGCTGAACACGGACGACCCGACGGCAGGACATTCGAACGCCCCCATCACAGCCCCCACCGAGGTGGAGGTGACAGACGATACAAAGTAAGGACACAGCCCCACTGCCTCCCTCTCGCCGGGGCTGGGATGGATGTGGGTTTCGGCAGCTGCCGTGTGATGCCCTGTCCTGTCCCCTCCGGGGAGGAACGACAGCTCAGCTCTAGAGCAACTACTGCTCTTCCCTGGGAGCCTTCCAGGGGTGTCCCAGCAGGGGACCCCTTCCCACCTGGCCCTGCCTGGCTCCGGGGCTCACACGTCCTCCCCAAAGCCAGTGCAGGGGGGCGTGCACGGATCCGGAGCCGTTCCCTCCCTGGGAGCCCCTGCCCAGCCCCAGCTCTGGCAACTGGCGTTTGCCATGGCTGGCGTTGCG